TTGATGGTTGAATTGGAGGAATGCATCGGGCTTGTCGTGTGATAAAAAAGTACCCCTCAAACTTAAGGGAAAATTCTATAAGATGGTGGTGAGACCTGCAATGATTTATGGTGTCGAATGTTGACCATTAAAAGAGAAACATAATACTAAGTTAAGTGTGGCAGAGATGAGGATGCTCAGGTGGATGAGTGGCTTTACCCTTAAAGATAGGATACGAAATGAGCATATACGTGAAAAGGTTGGAGTAGCTCCAGTAGAAGATAAGATTAGAGAGATTCGCCTTAGATGGTTTGGTCACATAAAACGGCGGCCTTCCGATAACCCGGCTAGGAAAGTAGAGGTATTAGATTTAACTTATGTTAAGAAATGTAGAGGCAGACCTAAAAATACTTGGTTATAAAATATTAGAAATATCTTTCTCTATTAGATTTAAACGAGAATTTGACTTTTAATAAGACGCAATGGAGAAAAAGGATTCATGTAGCCGACCCCACGTAGTGGGACAAAGGCTTCATGTTGTTGTTGTTGTAGAGAGAAGGAAATTATGATTGCTAATTTTGTTAAAGCAATTTGTTACTTTTATTCAACAGGAAGGAAGAAATAATAGACCACATCTATACAATTTCAACTAAAAAAGGAAGAAGAAAATTCGAGATAAATGATTCAAGTTATTTAAGTTAAATTTTCGACCGATTTCATGGAATATTTTATGCAATATTATCAGAAACATAATTAGTTAATTTAGCAGAGTTTGACACATTCGACATTGTCGTTGATGACACTTTATGTGTTCAATGATAATTAGACAACACTTAAAATCTTCAGAACTTGGTGTAACAATATGTAATGCAAATAAATGTTATTTTAAAGCACTTAAAGAATTTAATTGTTGAGTTGGGACAAAATATAGAAATTAAGCTAAGATTTTCAAAGCAAAGTTAGATAAGATTTAAATATGTTAAATAATATTTAATTTGAAGTAATTAAAATATGGCCCTAAAATAGTTATGTGAATTTACATAATTGTGTTCTTAATTTTGGGTGTTATACTAAGGAGGGTTATTTAAGAACTAAAGGAATTTGGAAGGGTTCCAACACACGAAAAGAAGTGAAGTAGGTGATTACATTTACTTTATAGCAATTATATTTTTGTTTTGTTTCAATGCAATTATCTGATATTGTATCATATATGTAGACATGTTGAATTTTCAAGAAACTAACATACGTTAAATTAAGGAAAACTAAATAAACATAGTTATAATATGATATTTATGTAAATGTGAAAACTACTTATTTAGATTGATATGAATATGAAAAGGAAATGAAAGAAATATAATAAACAGCAATATGAAAATTAAAAAAAAAATGTTGAAATGGAAAAAATAAATATATGCAAATACAAGAGTTCACCCCCTTATAGTATTGGTTGGAGACACAACGTACATGTGCACGATAAATGAAGAAAATGATTGTATCTTTGTTGGTAAAAAATTTAGACAATGCTCATATAATAAATGAATAATTAAAACAGTAAATTAAAAAAAAAATAGATTGTGAAGAACATTTTATCAATGAATAAATTACAGTATTTACATCTATATTAAATATGTATATGTATGTTATATTAAAAGTACAATATAAATTAATATGACTATTTATATGCATTTGCTACTGCTATACTATAAACTATAATTGACTACTGAGTTTGTTATTGAAAACTCTAATTATTAAATTAAAATTTTTCAGATAAATGCTCTATTAATTAAATGGTTGATTGTGAAGATTTCGTGTATAGAAGAAGAGGTTCAATTGGCAGTGTTTTATCGCATGTTTAGACTAAAAATTATTTTAGTGGCTCTTCAGTTACATTTGAATATTAGTTTATTGAATAATTATTGTTATTGAAAGAACTCTAATATCCGTTCGACTATCTATTCTTGCCTCATTAACTTGAGTTTCCGAGTTTGGCCATGAGAACCTATCATGTTTTAAAATACGCCCATTTGCAATCAACATACACAATATACAATAATAATAGTAACAAAAAATTATCTAAAAATGTCAAAGAAACCACCAAGCATTAATTCATAATGTTAATCTAAAAAGCATTAATTCATTAGTTGGAGGCAACAAATGTCCCTTCATCGGGAAGAATATAAACACTATTGACACTACAAATGCATGATGGAGGGCTTTATACTTTGTAACCCTTTAACTGTTCATTGGACCTGCCTACCTCCTGCCACTTTCATATTCTATATCATATTGCTTGTAACTTGCCATGCTCAATCATGCATTTAATTTTTCCTTGCAAACTGTTCCATATAAGATGGTTGAAAAATGTTTTAAATATTACATCTGCAACATTAATTTAGAAGGATCTTTCTCCTCACATTCACTCTCATGTATATCCTGCTAAAACTCTAGGATCAGCAATCATCTTATAATTCTTTATTTTTCAGCCTTCTGTGTCCAAGTAAATAGCACTATAAATGTCACAAAAAAACGCCCAGCAATCCTGGTGCAAAAATATAAATTTTTGACCAAGCTGCCACCACTTATGCCACATTTCCATGTTTGCAAATAAAACCTAAGAAGAAAAGCAACAGCTATTTAAAAAAAAAAAAGGCAAGATTTTTTAATAATCCATTAATTGCGTTTAGATGATGCTATCTAACAATCAATATGAAATAACAGAACTTCCTACAACATTAGTTTGGTTTGATTAACATAAAAAGAGAAAGGGACATGATTTTCTAGGGGGGAGTTAATCTCGAGTTCACATTAGGAGAGGAGACACGTGATTCTGTGATTGATCCACTTAGGGGTGTAAACAAGTCGAATCGAGGTTGAGCTTGATTAATTAATCAAGTTCAAGGTTAATTCTACAAGTTTGGGCTAGCTTGTTTAAAATGAAAGTGAGAAAATAATTATAATTCAAGCAATTATTTTAATAAAACTATAAAAAGAATGAGAAACTAAAAGATAAATAATAATGAACCGGTTAATATAAGAAAATGATAAATAATTTTTAATTGTTTCTAATAGCTTTATAGTTGAATTTCTGAGTAAATTTTCTATTAATATTTTTTAAACGAAAGAGCTTGTCAGCTAATGAGTCGAGTCAAGAGTAGCTGAAGCTTGGTTCATTAGCTCATCAAGCTAAGCTCAAGCTCGCTCACGAGACGGCTTGACTCACTTACAACCCCAGATCCATTTTATGATTTGAAGATTAAACGTTAGTTTGCCTTGTCAAAAACTGAAAGCGTTCATGAAACATAGATGCTTATAAGGAGGATACATTTTGATAACCACTGATGGGGGTTTTTTAATAACAAAAAAAATCACACCCAGTTTCTTAGTATTGTTATACTTGTTTAGACTTGACTTAGCAGGAGCTTCATGCATTGGTGCTTCTCAAATACTTAAAAAATGGATAGTGATGGAGTTGAAGGTGCAAAATAATTTAAATTCATAGGTTATTACCAACTTTCTTTCCTTTATTTTTAAGTAAAATAAACCCATAGAGACCACTCTTTTATTTCATTGAAAAAGGAATAGTTTAATCCTAATTTGTTTTTTTCATATGTTTTAATAAATAACAATGCATAGACCGCTGATTTATAAGTTTTTTAATACTTCTACATGAATGAATCATTCATTAGTCATAACATAATATCTGCAACAAACACAATAACAGCACAGATATTTAAACAGCCTTGCCATTTAGTTAGTTAAAGCATAACTGTACTAAACTTAGCATCCATGTAATGACAAACTTCTTCATGGGTTCTCTATATACCTAATTTCACATAATGAATTACAATTTTAGCAACTACTACTCATCATTAAGCTTCATAAATTCTCTATATTAAATTTTAAACTTTAAAAATAAATAATAATATAATAAACAATTAATATAATAATATAATATTGTAATAAAAATTAACAATAGCACAGATATTTAAAAAGTCTTGCCATTTAATTAATATTTAAATGAAATAACAAAATAATTTAATTAATAATGAATTACAATTTTAGCAACTACCACTCATCATTAAGCTTCTTAAATTCTCTCCATTAAATGGAGCATTGGAAATGTACCAAAACCAACAAAAAAACAAATGAAGCTTCAATGTTACTATCCAATTGTCACCTTTATTTGACACTCTTTTAATCATACCAAAATTAAGGCATGTTTTAGCAAAAAATAATCTATCTCCTTTCACTAAAACCATGTTCTTTAATCCTAAACAGAAAATTGAAAGCATTGTGCAAGTCACCGTAAATCTCACACCTACCATCAACAAAAAGGAGAAGCGAAATAAAATCAGGTTCACACACTTGATACAACTGAACGGCTTCCTAGACAACAACAAATCTGTCATTTTCTACGCAAACTATAGCTTAAATATCAGTTTTGAAATTACCATTTATATATGTTATCAAGCCAAACAGCTAACATTATCTAAAACATAACAAACAATCCCCCATCTCCATGAATTTCCATTTCTCCGCTTAACCTTTTTCACATAAACTAAAAATATCAAACATCCGAAAAGTGCTTAAAAACGATTAGAAGAAAAAGGTAAGAAAACATAAAAGCTTACCGTACCCCCTGAACCTCAATTTTAAACCCATCCATAAATAAAATCGAGAGATGCTGGCCTAAAGGTCAACTAAGTCACGACATCATAATTCCATGGGTAAACTCACCTTCCACGTAGCCAGATCAAGGCTTACACGCAAACCAGAAAACAGGAACAACAATAATAACATAAACAAAAAACCTAGCAACCCGTTGTTTTTTTCAATCCCAAATGTTTTTGCTGCAATGGCCCAATGCCCCAGTCTAAAATCCTTCTTGCTTGAAAACTACTTATAGCATTCCGAATCAAGCCCCAGTAACCAAAGAACGCCCGCCAACATCAAAAAAGGGGGCAAAAAAACCCTAATTTCAAACCAACGGATAAAGATCATTAAGAACATAAACAATATACCTTTCTTTAGGAGAAGCGACCGGAGCCCGCGCAGGAGCAGGATCAGGCGCCGCCGTCGTCGCCGGATTATACTGGTGGTGAGTGAGATGCTCCTGGTGCGTTGCGGCTACTAGCGCCATGGGAGCGGTGAAACGGAAGGAAGGAACATTTGGCTGCCGTGGGATGTGGTCGAACAGACAGGACGCAGCAGGAATCTGTGTGAAATGGCTGCTGTCGGCCGCATCGATGACGGAGGAAGATGTTGGAACTTGAGGGAAATGAGGACCAAGGAGGATATAGATCTGTTCATTGATAAAAGAGGCTTTGCTGGAGAGATCCATTCCGAGCTTGGCTTCGAGCTGGCGGATGAAGTTTTCAAGGGAAGTGATAGAAGCGGCGCCGCCCTCACGGACAAGAGACTCTACACAGTTGGCGAGTACCTGGTCGGAAACCATGGTAGCCAGAGGACATCTAACGACCAGCTAGCTCAAGAAGATCTAGAGGGACGTAGGGGTCAAAAAGAGGGAAAAGCGAGGAAATTAAATTGATCTTCTTCCCCGCCTTCAACCTCTTCCCAGTCTCTCTCCCTCTCTCTCTCTCTCTCTCCCGTCTGTTCTCTCTCCTCTTCTCTATTAAATAGGTCATTAAGATAACGAAAATACACCCGTTACACACGAGAATCAGATAAGCAAAGCCAGCAGTACCTCCGTACTCTGTTGTTGAATGTGTTTGAAATTTGAGATTTTTTTTTAACCCAATTACACTTAGGGCATCTCCAACCGAACGGCAAATACTTGTTTGCCGTTCTTGCTTTGCTCCAACCGATCGTCATTTTTGACGCCATTTGATTGCGGATGAACAGTGCGACGCCAATATTGGCGTCGCACTATTTATCTGCGCCATTTTTTTCTCTCTACCGAACAGGTTGGGAAGAAAGGCGCGAAAGAAAACGACTGTTTTAGCAGCAAAATGGCGTTGAATTGGAGATGAAACACGGCATTTTTTTATTTCCCTGCATTTTTGCGTGAAAAATGACATTTTTCGGTTGGAGATGCCCTTAGTTTGTTCATTGCCAATTTTGATTATCAACCAAGAAGTTTTATATTTAAATTTTATGTATTTGAGGCGTGTGTGAGTTTATCTTTATTGATCTAAATATCCACCAAAAAAATGTTGAGACTTTTTTTAAAATATATATATAATAAAATTAATTTGGATAAGAAAACTCTGAAATTTGAAGAGGAGCTAGAATCTTATATAAATAAACTTTTGAGCAAGAAGTTGATCTAGCCAAAATACTTGTTTATCATCGGCAATTACCGTTGGCAATTTATGATTCTGCGATAAAATTTCAAAGCACTAATTTTTCAAGTTAAAAAAGTATGTTTGATTATCTAGCTTTATAAACTCCATTCGCACTTTAAACTCTAAATCTAAAATAACATTAGACTTTGAATTATCAGCTTCAAACATTGATTAAACTTATTTTGATCTTGGTCAAAATATGTTAAGGTCATTATTGAATATATGTGAAGCTTATTTGAATCTTATGCATATTCATGAATAATGTTTGAACAATAATATTATGGTACAATTAAAGTTTTAAAATATTGTTATGCACGATGTTCTAGTAATTTGGTTATTAAAAATGTGCATTTTGAATTTGTAGGATTTGCCTATCCTTATAAAAAATTATATAATTATGAAATGGGCTCAATCATATTTTAATTGTTGAAATATGATGCAATATGCATTTATATGATTGAATCGGGTAATATCGAATAGTTTTGCATGTTAGGAGATATAACTGACTACAATCATTTTAGATTTTGTCTGTGGCCGGGAATATGAATCTGAAAAATTCTGAAAAATGTATATGTTGGAAGTTACAATGGGTCAGAATCCTTTGAGATTATATCTAAAAGAGAAAAAAAACTTATTATGAGCCAGAATCCTTTGAGATTATATCTAAGTCTAGAGAAATTTAATAAGAACTATTTTATTATATGAATTTATATTTTCATTACATGCTCATTTTTATTATTTGAATTTTGAATATGGAGCTTTTATTATTTTGCTAAGTACAATGATTTATTATACTGCTTTTAACTGCATTTAAGTAATATGAAAATATTTTATAAAAGAATCTTTTAAAAATTTAGATCGGTGTTTGTGGCCTATTGAGTTGTTGTAGCTCATTGTGATTTTGTTTCTGATTTTTAGGATATGAAAAAAGAAATGAGCCGATTGATTTGTAGTTCATGATCTGATCGGAGTTGTTAGGTATTTCTTTTATTAATTTTTGTATAGTCATGACTAAATTATTATTCAACTCTATAGCCTCTATTTGTAGTCATATATTATAGTATAAATATATTTTGATGAAATGAAAGCAATTTTGTGGATGAGTTTATTTTCAGTACATGAATGTTTTAGTAGCTATGCATTCTATTATTTAAAATTTAAATTGGAAGAAGAATTCTGAAATATTTTTGAAGTTAGATCTTGGGATTAGCCTGTCACAACTCAATATGAGGACATGTCTCATTAGTTGATATTGTCGGGTTGGGTTGTGATAGGAGAGATTGTAGTCGGCATGTAGTGAAGTTCTGAAGGATCGTAGTTGACATGCGATAATAATTTGAGGGACTGAAGTCGGTGGGCGACTGAGGGACCATAGTTAGCGGCCTGGCGGAGGGACCGTAGTCAGCGGACTACGGAGGTCCCTCCGCTAGCAGGCGACAGTGGTTTAAAGGACCGTAGTTAGTATACTACGGAGGTCGAAGGGAACGTAGTCGGTGAGCCATTGAAGATCATAGGGGCTGTAGTTGATGGGTGATGGAGGTCGGAGGGACCATAGTGTATAGGTGACAGTGGTTTGAGTGACTGTAGTTAACGGGCGACGAAGGTCATAGGGACCATAGTTGGCTGGCTGTCGGAGGTCAAAGGGAGGTCCATAGTCGACAGGCAGGGAAGGTTGGAGGGACTATAGTTCATAAGATATGGAAAGCCATAGGAACCGTACTCGGCGGTCGATTGAGATTGGAAGTATCATCATTGAAGTTACCGTAGTTAGAGGGACAATAATTGGCGGGCAACGGTGGGCGGATGGGCAGTGGTCCGATATTGGTCCAAGGAATTAAGTTCGTCAGTGGTGGTGTCTAGAACTCTAGGATCCTTGAAGCCTCAGAGCTCTCTCATATCTCCAGCAAAAAGTCCCTTCATGAAGAGAGCATGAGCCTATTTATAGATTTTTTTTTAGTGGTATGCTCGGTAAATTTGGAGAAGATCCATGCCAAATTTGGAGTGCTCCATTCGACAACTCATATCGATTACCCTGATCATATAATTATATTTATTCATACATTTAAGTGCCTTAATGATGTCTAAATTAAGAAATCTTAGGCTCATTGGATTCGTCTCATCGAGCCACCCAATTTGACTATAAAGCATGCCAATTTGGAGATCATTTGGTTATCTAATTTATGTTTTGAAGTTTTAAATATGCTTTAGCCCCTTGATTCGGACTAGACCGATTTTGTTGTCATTTAGTTTGTATCACTGAGGCATTCAATTTGACTATAAATTTGCATAAATCGAAGTTCATATGGTCCCAAATTTCAATATGAAAGTTGTCAACTCATATATGCTTTAGGATTTGTGTCTGATTAAGGTAAATTTTGGTGATGTATCAAGGAAAGCAATTCAACTATGTGGTGTACATTTATATTGTGATTATTTAGTAGTATCAAGTTTTTATCTATTACATTAAAGCTTTTGTAATTGTACTCTTCTTGTTGCTATAAGAATATTATAAATATTCTAATGTAGTATGGAAATTCGCATTGTAATTTTATAGATGTTATGTTTTTCATTGTGATGAGTTGCAGTTATTAGATAATATTATGTCGTGTCTAACATCGTCGAATCTTTTTGCTAACCTCATTTGAACTATAGGTGAACCAATCCTCAAATCAAAACATATGATCAAAAAGGATTCTAATAATATTCAAAGAAGGCTAAAAATTTTCTCTTGTATGATCTAAACTTTGATCAAAGCTTTCAAATCATATTTGAAGTGTAATCTAACCATCTTTATTGTGGTCTAAAAAGAACTTTTTGAGATACTTTCATAAGAAACAAGCAGTGTGCATATTTCATCAATTTGAGTATTAGAGGGCATATAAAGCTAAATTTAAATTTTTTTACAGCTTTTTAATGTAATTTTTTAATAAAAAATACTTAATAATAGGAATATATATATATAGGATTTTTTTTTTTTTTGGATTTTTTATTAGAACTTATGGAAGATATTTTCTTGAAAATATTATGGCTGCACTATGCATCTTAGATATTGTTTAGAACGACTTTTTTATTGCTTCTTAAAATAATTTTTGTACAAAAATTAAAAATTTTGACTAAAAAACTATTTTAAGAAGCAGTAACAAAGTAGTCCCAAACGAAACTTATGATTTCGTTTGGGACGGTAGTTTCTTAAAGTAGTTTTTTAGTATAAAAATTAAAATTTATATATTAAAAAGATATTTTAAAAAACAGTAAAAAAGGCGTCCCAAACAAAGTCTTAGATTTCGTTTGGAATATCTTTCTTACTACTCTCAATAAAATTAAATTTTATTTTGAAAGTATTAGTTTTTTTATTTAAAAAATCAAACTTCAGATTTACTAAACCCTAAAATAAATGAAAAATATTTTTCATTTTTTAAGTTTAAAAACTCTCTTAAAAAATAAATCTATCTTTTAATTTTTAATAAAATATCTCAAATTTTAAATTACAGAATACATGCAATAAAATTAAAATAATTCTGTCATATTTACGATTGTGACTTTTGCTCTCTTGTAGATTCATGAGGTCTTGATACGATTTTTTTTATATATATATTAGTGACAAAATAACTTACAGAGCTACCGGAAATTTGTTTCTAAACCTTTACATTTGTACTTCAAGATGCATATGTTGTTATGATATAATATATAATCCTAATGATAAAAGGAATTTTAAAGGTTTATTTGTGACAACATTTTTAAAGCTATTTTGAACTAAATTTTTTGTACTAAACCTATTTTATAAAGTAGTAAGAAAGTTGTCCCTGACTTTGTTTGGAATAATTTTCTTATTATTTATTTAAAGCAGCTTTCTGATACAAAATTTTTCTAAAATCAGAGAAAAAATAGTGGTTAAAAAAAGATGAAGCCTAAGGCTTGGGACAGCTTTCTAATACAGAAATTACTAATTCGGAAAAAATTATGTTAAAATATTTCTTTAGAAAATAATAAAAAAATCGTCATAAATGAAGCGTAAATTAAGAATTCAAAATCTATGACATATGAATTAGATGAAATATTTCTCTATAACAAGCTGATGATTTGGTACACCAATACATGTTGGCTTGTTTTTCACTCTTAATCCAACCAAAAATAAATAATACAAAAAATAACAAAAAAAAATGACAGTGAGAGAGCATAAATTAGAATTATGTTGCTATGAAATAATTTAATAATTTATTCATTCATTGCAAAGCCTGATTTGGATGGTTGTTAAACCTACCAACTTGTACTCCACCAAAAACTGGCCTCTTGTGATTGTCATTATTGAGTGTTATCTTTGT